ATAGATGAAGAAAGATCACTTGAGCTCAATTCGGTTGTAGAGGTACTTGTCAAAGACTCATCTGTAGTAGTACTGTTGGCATATGGTGGTACGATGCTAGATGAAGTGACAATTGATGACAATGTTGATGGAGCGGCAGCAGTAGTGGTCTCACTGCTGGTTTCACCGGTGGATGTAGTTGTGCCAGTGGATGTAGTCTCGCTAGGGGATGTAGTTGTACCAGTGGATGTAGTTGTACCAGTGGATGTAGTTGTACCAGTGGATGTAGTTGTACCAGTGGATGTAGTCTCACTAGGAGATGTAGTTGTACCAGTGGATGTAGTCTCACTAGGAGATGTAGTTGTACCAGTGGATGTAGTCTCACCATTGGTTGTAGTTGGTGTAGTCACAGTCAAGCTTGGGGAGACAGACGTAGCTGACTTCACATATGAAGTATACGAAGCAATGACAGTAAGATCTTGAGTTGTTGTGACACTCTCACATGAGGCTGCTATCGCTTGTGCGATAAGAATTAAGAAAGGTACTTGAAATCTCATCCTTTTCCTGAAAAGAACAATAAAAGTACACTAGTCTTTGCTAACAAAAATATGTTGAAGTTTTACCAGGAAGGAAAAATATGAATTCAAAGAAGAAAAAAGAGAAGAAGCGCAACTTCTTTGTATTTAACAGCTTGAAGAGAGCCTACCAGGCGGGTTTTTTTTGGGTATTCGTACTGGGCTCTGCTGCTATGTAGCTATGGACATACATTTATGCTGGTCAGCGAGGCATACAGCACATGGCGTCATCTGCACCTTTATGCGTCTGATGAGTCTCAACAGGCTTGAAGTTAATGAATCCTTATTCGGTCAATTTTTAACTAGAAACTGTGTAATAACTGACACTTTGTCTCTTTTTGAGAACGTCATGAACGGCTGAGGTGAAATGACTACTGAGCATTGAACAGGAAACACGATTTGTCCTTTTTTTTGTCTTTCTCATCACACTATGCCGCAATAAGCACTACATCATCATTGAGTACTAGGGATCTTAAAACTCTAATCGTTGAGGTCCATACCCACTCTTTGTAGTTTTACAGTCTTTAATCTACTAATCACACGTTGCTACCTTTAACATTTTGAAAGAGTAAAAAGATAGCAAGGTTTACAAATTACTTGTCAATTGCTAAGATAAAGACCAGTGTGTGTTGGCTATTTGTCAAGCACTGCAAACCATCCTTAATTACCGCGCACTTATGGCACAGCTTGCAACTTACCAATTCTGGTCGGAAAAAGAAAAAGGGACCAAATCTCACCCAGCTTCAAAACATAATGCAGCCGCAGATTTCGTCTTTCATTTAACCTTTTACTTTGCATGTCCAATGTATGGCTGATGGCTGGATTCAAATGTCTCAGCAGTATTCGGAGATAACCTACAGTGTCCACTTATGATATTTTTCGCCATGAGGTATCAAGGCGAACTGAAGCCCATCAGCCTTAGGCATAACACAACCTAATCATCCTCGAAAGAACATACGAGTTAGAAATAGGATTATTAGGTCTAGCGAAAGCTAACTTGAGAAGTTCACAAGTTATGTCCTTAGCACTGACCTGTTAAACTTTGTACTCTAATATTATTTTGATATATATGTGAACTTCTAGCTGCTTAAAAATAATTTTGAATGATTGGTCAGAACCCTCAGTTCGCTATATAGAGTAAGTAGCTGATAATCAAACCACCCTTCATATCCGTACTCTTCGAGCTGGTTGCGCATTGTGTGAGTTCTGCGGCTTGGAAACTGAAGCATTTACAACTCTGTGACCACAGGTTAAGACCAGCCACGGTACAAATGTCGGTTTCATAGCTTAAATCAGATCATGGTGGAATGATTGGCCAATATCTGCATGGCTCAAAAATCCGCAAACAACGTTTCTGTGCGTCGTCCCTGTGTTTGTTTGTATTTTTTAATGTTTTGGGGATTTTGGACGGCCATGCATGTTCAGCCCCACTATTCTAAAAGGTAAGATGTGTGGATCAGCCTCTTAGCTTTTGCCATGGCCTCATAGACGGTTGGGACATGGCCTATAGCTAAATATAATACTCTGAAAAATCAATAAGGCGCTTGTGGAGTCATAAACTTCTGATTCGTCATTTAAAAGCAGTGTTCGATGGGCTGTGAAGCCTATACCTTATGGACCCAGTAGGAACAATGGATTATTGACTGACAAATCTGCACAGTAGCATTGAGCTTCAAATTGATAACCTCATACATAGGATAAACTGCCTACGAGCTGCCTGCGAGCTGCCTGCGAGTTTGTTTTTTATGTGCACTGCGGAAGAATAAAAATTTTAATCAGGATCTCTGTTATTCATTCTACGGAGGACGCTCAATGCTGATGGACATAAAGTAAGGGATCTTAATATGTTCAAAAAGACGTCACGGCCACAAGCGCCATCAATATACTCCAAAGCAGAGCTTATATAATGCAGATATCAAATCTGTCACAGGCTATGTTTTGGGGATAAAGTATATCACTAAAAGAATTCAAACTTTTTCTTATTCTTGTGACCAAAGATTGCGCATCTTGGATTGAAGTTCCGTACATGAGTATATTCAATGATGGATCACAAAAAAAACTACATAACTACATTTACGGTTGTTAGAAGCGAATTAACCGTTGATGACTATTTTTGTAAATTTCATCTGTTAAATTGAGCACCATTTATGATCATTGTCCAAGTTCCATGACTCCATGGCAAGTACTGGTAATTACTCGGCCCGTTCGCAACGGCTGCACTTCTTCATTTTTTATGTTTATTATAGTTATAATAATACTCATCCGCAAATGATTCTCGTACGATTTGTCGAGTTAATAATACGATCATGTAGCACTATAGAAGACAATACATTAACACTATTATACATGACATATACGACAATTTACATAGTGACCTGGTAATGAGTTTTCTAAATGCTCATGTTAATGCTACGAGAAGGGGAAGTACAGAAAATGGCATGCCAGAGAGGTAAAGTGATTGATGTCATCGTTTCTCTCGCGCTGCATTTTTTTAGTACCCGCCTTTTTTTGCCCGGATTGCAGTTCCGTTTGTTGCCAGGGTGATGATCAGGAATATTTCTACAACAGTCTAAAATATCACTATGCGAATCAATTGGCAGGGAGAAGCAAACAATTTCACTTTATCCATGAGCCAGTCGTCAATTCGATAGTGATGGAATGTCTAAGTCGCGGTTCTATATGCACCGAGTATATCAACACCCCTCTGATGATCCAAAGATGTAGAATAGATTGTAATGTACATAATGGGCCTACTCTGTTTAATGTTCTATGCTCGTTTATACATCATGGTTAATGTGTCATAACAACATTGCCTGCTTGAGAGTTGAACCAGACTATCATGAAAAGGTGTGGTCTATTTACTATGTACCAAATACGATACACTATTTATCCCGTGCTCATGAAAAAGAGCACAATACTAGAAATACTGTCTTTCTTGTAAACTTTGGGTTCAGCTGACAATTATCCCTATGTTTCTTTCTTTGGGTGTGAAGATCACTTACACGCCAGTTGCTTGAGTAAAAACTACATCTGATCAACCCAGTCATAGATTGGATGAATCGACATGATCCATAATATTAAAATTGAAATAACGAACAGACACATACAACTGTAACAGCTTGGCATATAAATTATATACATACATAGATTTTAATGGTATCCTGTTGGGTAACTACTTTGTACAGTTGAGGATGCCTGGAATATGAATGAGCAGCTAGAGTCCACCAGTATTGGAAGCTGTAAAAATCATCATTTGACTCGTCATGTTAAAGATCAGAATGTAAGAAAAGTGGAAAGGGCGCGCTTTCACACATAATGATCCGAGACTTGTTGAGGCTCTAATATGGCTACATCGTATAGATTCATGATACAATCTAAATCATTAATTTTTTTGTTTGGAAATTATGTGTAAATAAAGACGCTCAAAATTAGAACAAGGCAACAACACCAGCAATGGCCAATGCGGAAAGTGCAGTCAACTTGGAACCCTTACCTTCGAAGGTAACAATAGTGGCAGATGCAGTTTCTCCAGCTTCTTCTGAAGTAGATTGGGCCTCAACAACTGGGACGGAAGTTGCAGTAACAGCGGCAGCTGGGGCAACAGTAACAGTTTCACCATTAACAACAGTTGTGGTCTCACCAGCAGCACCTTCAGCAGCACCTTCAGTAGTAACTTCAGTAGTGGCAGCAGTAGTGGCAGCGACATCACCCTTTTCAGTAGTAGCACCTTCGGTGGTGACTTCTCCGGTAGTCTCAGCAACATGCTCAGTAGTAGTAGAAGTAGCACTTGGAATGACTTGTGGAACACTAGATGGTAATGGGCAGTATGTGGTGTATGAGGTAAGAGCACCTTCAAACTCACTAGTAACAACAGTAGCACCTGTTGTGACTGGAACCTCAGTACATGCTTGATCTTCACATGATGTAATGGTAACAACAGTTGTCTTCACGTCATTCTTTACTGGGCAGACAGTGGTGTAGCTAGTAACAACACCATCGCTGCGTGTTGTGTAGACTGTGCTTGTAGTAATTTGAACAACAGTGTATGCTGGTCTGTCGACGATGACAACAGCTGATGAGTCAGATGTCTTTGTAATTGCACCAGTACGTGAAGTGTCTGGGGAAACGGTGTGGGTAGATGTAGAAGTAGACGATTCTACACCACACAAAGACTCGTAGAATGGGAATTCTTCACAGCTGTCCCATGTCAAAAGCTCTTTGCTTGTGTCTTCCATGTAGTAAACGTTGTAACAGTTTGAAGTGAGCAAGATACCTGATTGGTCATCTGCGTAGTAAATGATTTGAGCACCGTCAAGGGCATCACAAGCTGCTGCATCGTCAGCGAAATCACCGACAATTTCAAGTCCATCAGCATTTGCTTCCACTACAGCACTACCTCTTGGGAAGTAGGAGTATGACTGAAGAATTTGGTCAAATGACACTGGGATGGAGTAAGACTCTGCTGATGCAGTAGCCAGCGCTAGTGCAAGAGGTATCAGTGAACGAAGAAACATTATTCTCTTTTTGTTCAAATTGAAGTAATTTCCTCTCGGATTATTCTATTCAAACTTGATGGTTTTTGCTATGTTAAGAAGAAGGAAAGAAAGAAAATTGGAGGGAAAAAAAGCAGAAAAGCAGGAGATTCAAAAGTTATAAGCAAAAGTATCCAAAATGCCTATGTCCCAGCCACACGCACCTCTCTGTATATATTGAAGACCACAGGCGCATAAGGAGGCCATCCGCATTTTTTTGCTTACCTTTTTCGTACCACAACTTCTGAGGCAAATGGATGAGGCATGGATATGCATAAACATGAGGGTAGTACAGTAAGTCCAGACTTGCATTGTATCTCCGAAGGTGGCTGGCTACATACACATGCATGAGACATTTGGATATTTAAGTTTGGGACATTTTTTGATTCATGCCTTCGGATTTGGGGGTTCAGGACATTTCAAAACTGATCGTATCCATGACGATTCACAGAGCCTTAGTCGCTTCAGTTTCCCAGCATCCACTGCAGTACAAAGAGGGCACCTTTTCTGTTGTTAGGCTCTCTACACAGTCAACTACTCATCAAATTAGCTCCTCCTGGTTTTGACCTACCCAAGCAGAATCTTTGCGATGCATTTACGATCTTGGGAACTTAAAGTTTGGTCACTAACTGAAGTCTTGATTCGTTACCATTAGATAATTTACGTCTAAGCCAATGTAGTGATGAAACTTCACATGCCCTTACTCTATTGGTTTCTCGCTGGCCGTTTCATGTTACAGATGCAAACCCCTCCAAGCCCCCAGAACTTATTATTATTCTCATAGACCTAGAATGGGTGTTGTTATTTTGACGGTCGGACTAGAACGGAGAACGGTTAAATGAGTAAGCGACCGTTAGAGTTTAACCTCAACAACTACTGGTGATAATATCATTCACACACACACATAGGAGCTATGTCAAATCTCAATGATGCAATTATACCGCTTAAACTTCAACTACTGTTAAGTCTTCTTTTGCTGTATGCTGAGACTTGGGTTATTGGAGAAGTCAATTTACCTTTGAGTTTGAATTCTAAATATGGGCCTCGTGATGCCCGCATAGAGTCTTCTAATATTCATCAACTTCACAACGTGGTGTTGACAAGAACCGCAGAGACAAAAAAAAAAGTACCTTAGATCTTGACCTTCAGTAATATTTGAAAAACCTTATAATTGGATCAGTATTCATGAACAGCGGTTGGTTTTGCCGAAAGGTTATAAGAGAGTATTCTGGAAGATCAGTCTAAAGCAACGCAGCAGTGTGGGCCAATTGTATATAGTGAGTACATATGTATAATGTACGTTGCGCCTTGAATTTCATAGTAGGTAATTGCGATTATTGTAGCTAAGAGCTGAACTGATTGGGGTTGGTGTTGAGGGAGTATACACATACCGTATGTATGTTAGTTCACCGGGCGCTACTGCATTCGCGTCTTGACGTCTTTTCGATTCGATTAGAACTACACACCAGAAGAAGAGTGATCTGATAAAAGTTACTCCAGAATTACTCTATTCAATTTCTAGGCTATGACCGCTTCTATGCTATATATCATCACCTGGTGCTCGTAAAAGTTGATGGGAATGGGATCTGAACCAAGGTATAAAATTGCAATGTAGATGTATCAACGTGAAGGTAGTAACACAGAGCTAAGACTACGATCACGGCCTTCGCGAAATCTAGGTTTAACTATATGTCTATGTCACATTCTCATGCCATGTTGTTCATGAGTAGGTGATGTCCAGAGGTGGGGCAAATGTACGTGAGTCTGTACTCACTGCAAGAGAACTCAGGACTAAGGCAGTTCAAAGTCGGGGCGCTGATGTTCACCAATCACCACCATGCGGTTTACGGCTACCCCCGTGCTCAGCCTTACGCTGCTTTGTTTACTGGACAATTGCCTTCATACCTTTGTATTATGGTGCACGTTCATGAGTCAGCAAACGTACATGCGACGTGTTCAACACTCCTCATGAAAGGATTCGAAAGTTGTTTGTGTTCGGATAAAAAATAATGGATTTCATTTGTCCAAGGCTTATACCGCCGTTATCCGATTAATTTGGAAGTCTGATCTAAATTTGGGACAAATTGCCGCAAAATCAACCAATGTTCAGCTCGGCATCTTTTAACCTTGAAATATGACTAAGCACGTATATGGGATTTAGCCAAATTATCCTCAAATTACCAGTGCGATAACTACCAAGAAATTTGAGTTTGATGACGATCGCTCTCTAAAACTGATCAAATATCGAACGTAACGTGTCAGGCAACGCCAAGTTCCAGAAAAAGCCGAATGATGTGTGAAAATCTACTGATTGGAGCACATTATTTGGTTTACATCACGGGCAGCCCTGTGAATACAGTCAGTGTATAACTAGCTCACTGCTGAATAATATATGACAAGTCACAGCCCTGCTAGTTTAACTCCTAGTAAATGACTGTAGCTAATGCACGTATCGTCACCAGTATTAACCACGTTGAAGGATCAAGTTGTGCCTCGTACTCAAGATTGGCACATGAAAGGACTTGTATCAACGTATCGGCTTACAAATTACAGCCCTTAACATCAACTCAGAATTTACGGGCATAACCAGGGTTGGGGATGGCCCACCATGATCTAACCAATATACATGATATGACTAATTCATTGCATATATATGAACTCTACTGGAAAAATTAGGTTTTCCGATGGTGCCTAGTATTTACCACTGGAATCCCAGCCCTTTGATGCCTATGTTAAAACAGCAATTATTGCATGTCTGCAAACCGCATGGTGCCGTGGTCAATTGAAATATGGCTTCATAATATATGTACTGGTTCCGAAATCCTTATCGTATAGACATAAACTATTTTGGGTAAATATATGATCACTACTGTGTGTACACCTCTGCAGATGCGGGCCATTCACGTGATACTGCGCCATGCCCATACCGCGTATTTCATTGTAGGAAGAGTCGTAAGATCGCTGAAAAGAGTCCTAACACCGTGCCACATCGGGGAACACAAAAGATGGCGTGATAACATACCAGTAACCCTATAACAGCATCAAAACTTCTGTTTAAAGGACAAATTACTGGCAGTGCAGGTCATCACTAACTCATCATCTCATGTTATCCTGCATAATTGCACACCCCACGCCCGTCCACGATATTTGGAATCGTTGACCCGGAAAAACTTGGAGCTGAACAACATCTCTTCGAGTACTCTTCAAGCATCATAGTGTCCCTACCATTATTTAAATTTTGATGACAATTGACATCCGTACACCACCACCAGTCCAGCGCAGGTGAAATCCCAAACCGGGGGCGCAGCCATGGGTGTTGTTGTTTGTGTTTGTGTTGGCGAAATATCGGCTCTCGGGCACAAAAAAAATTACACTTCCCAGGGGGTTGGTGAGCTGGAAAATTGGTCAATATTTACACGTTCTCGAAGGGCAAAGTAAGGGGGTAGCAATTCGTAAACAATTTGATAGGGGTTAAAAACCGCGTAAGGATAAACAATTAACAATGGAACAAATCGATCTTTCAACACATGGCAAGGATATCCAGAAGTCGTACGAGACTGTTGTGAGAGGTGAGGGTGAATTCACCTGGGTTATTTATGGTCCAGATAGCTCAAAAGCCTACCAGGTTGCAGAGACCGGTGATGACTTTGACGAATTTCTTCAATCTTTTGATGAGTCTCAGATTCAATTCGGTTTGGCAAGAATCAATCCGCCAAACTCGGACGTTTATAAGAACCTGCTCATTGGATGGTGTCCTGATTCTGCGCCATTGAAATCGAGATCTTCCTTTGCTCAAAACTTTGCTGAAGTGTCCAGACTCTTGAAAGGTTACCATGTTCAGGTTACCGCTAGAGATTCGGACGATTTGGATAAGGACGACTTGCTCTCTAGATTGAGTGCCGCTGCTGGTGCCCGTTACTCCATTCAGGCCAGTAGATCCAATGCTTCTTCTAGTGGCTCTTCCAGTAAGCCAGCTCCAAAACCCTTTGTCCCAAAGCCGGCTTCTTCGTTCACTCCAAAGCCAACCCCGGTTTCGAAGCCAGCTGCAGTTGAGCCACCTGTAAAGAAAGAACCAGAGATCATCAAGCCGGCAGTTGCTAAGAAGTACACTGCTCAAGCCGACGAGGATGAATGGGATGAACCAGAAATTAAGGAAAGGGATTTGACAAAGGAGCCATTGAAACCAAATGTTTCCTCCTGGAAGCCAATTGGTAAAGTCAACTTACAAGACGTTATCAGGGAGGAACAGTCTAGACCTGATCCTAGACTTGAAGTGGAGCAACTGAAGCAAAAGGATAAACTCAAGAGAGATCAGGAGCTTGACGATTACTTGAAAACCAAGACAGCCTCCGGATCAGCAAAGGTTCCATTGCCATCCTCTGGTATCAACAAATCTGCTATAAGTGGAGGTATCTCCAAGGACTTTGGTTCCGATAACGGTAAAACACCTGCTCAACTGTGGGCCGAGAGAAAGCAGAAAGCCGCCGGGGGTGCTGTTCCAGCACCAAAGGTTTCTGAGCCTGTAAAGGCACAGGTAGATGAGGATGAAGAGCCATCTGTTTCTGATTTGAAGAGCAGATTCGATCATTTGGCTGTACAAGCTCAAGAGGAGGAAAGGGAAGAAAAGGTCTTGCCAAAGAGAAGTTCTGCTCCCGCTCCAGTTCCAGTTCCGGTTGCTCAGCCAGAGGAGGAGGAAGAGGAGGAGGAAGAGGAGCCTGTGAGAGCATCCATCCCACCACCTCCACCAGCCCGTGCTGTTGAGGAGGAGGAAGAAGAACCTCAACCTGAGATCCAGGAAGAGGAACCAGAGGAACCAGAGGAACCAGAGGAACCAGAAGAACCAGAAGAGGAGGAGCCAGTCGGTGAGTCAATTGTTGCCATTGCTGAATATGACTATGATGCCTCCGAGGACAACGAATTGACCTTTGCTGAAGGTCAAAAGATCATCAACATCCAGAAAATCGACGAAGACTGGTGGTTAGGTGAATTGGAAGATGGACAAAAAGGTCTTTTCCCATCCAACTATGTTTCCCTCCAATGATTTGTACCAATTTCTCGTTTAATCACAACTTTCTAGATGATTTTATTTTAAGAAAAGGAATAAGACACTACAAGAAATGTATCAGATTCAAAGTCTGAAGGAGCCATTTGTAGTGTACGCTTGATTTGTGTCCCGTTACCGAGTTCACAGTAGCTCATCGCCGTAATCAAATTGGGAAAAAATTTCATCCGGTCTGTTTCTCTTTGGTTCGTTCCATTCTTAACTAATTATATCAAAAGACATAATCATGGTTACTTTCAGTTGTGAAGTAGGTTCAAAACTTATTCTCAGTTGAGTTATATACTGACAACTCCCCTCCCCAGGTCTGTAACGAGTCTATGCTTAAAAAGAAAGCAGACCAACATACACAGAGATGCCGTGGTGCTTACTTCACATGTATTGATTGTTCTACAACTTTTAACGGTTCTGATTACAGAAAGCATACCCAGTGTATAACTGAGGATGAAAAGTACCAAAAGGCTTTGTATAGACCGAAAAAGAAGCAACCTCAGCAGCAGGCACAGCAAAAACAACCACAACAGCAGAAAAAGGATGAGCCGGAGGAATCAGTAAAGAAGAACAATACGAAGACTGACAAAGTGACAAAGCCTTCCTTGAAAGAATACAAAGGAAAGGACCTCTACAAGGCATTGAAGAAGATGACAAAAGATGATAAGAAATCACTTTTAAAGAAAATCATCATCAAGGAAGATGGTACGCTGGAATTAAAATAACTGTGTCTATGTGAATACAATATACATAAACTCATTTGTTCAAACCTCTGTGGATCTTTTGGTAAAACTGCTGGAGCGTGTCCAATGGGAATGTCAAATTATCAAAGAAGTACTCTGGGAGGAACTTGGAAAGTTTTGATGATTCATCTTCGGAATTCATTGGGGTATAGATCAAATCTGAAGAATCCTCCTTTGAAATTGTAAGCTTATAATCCAAAACTTGAAAAGTGTTGTCAGTATTTATCCACAAATATAAATGATTAAGGTAGTACTCACTTCCATTCTTCCCTGATTGAGAACAATCAAAAGACAGTGCATCGTCAGTTTCTTCAACACGGTGTAATCTTAAACCGACGATCTGTTCAATCATATCCAAAATCAATTCATTCTCATATTGAGCTTCCTCATTCAGTCCTTGTGTTGTTCCGCTCTCCAGTTGATCGAGGCGTTCTTTCAACAATGTCACCTCTTGTTGTAATTGTTTATTTCTTGAGGTCAAAGATGAGATTAAATCATCTGACGTCTTGAAACGTATCTCTGCTGATGCTTTGAATTCGTTGAAGATTTGATCTGCTCTTGTTGTTTTCAAATCGTTCAAGACACTGGTAAGCTTCGGAAGGTCCTTAGCTGTGAATGCCTTATGGATAACTGCTTCTGCTTTTTTCGCATCTAACAAATCGCTCTTAATCGTGGTAGATGGTTTCCTTGGTGAGACAGAAGGTTGCAATTGAGATGGTCTCTTTACTGGAGATTTCAAAGATAGCAAAGGCTTCTCTGCATCTTGCTTCTTCGATACTGTTTTTGATGGTTGTTCAGCTGTTGGGACGTTCGAAATCTCAAGGCTGGTTGTCTTTGGAGATTCAGCTTTGGTTGATTCAGTGACTGGTGTCTTTTTTGGTGCCGTTGTATCAGTTTTAGAAGCCTTTGGGGTGGACGCTACACTGTCAGCTATTGAGTTATTTGCACTCTCCCCATTTCTCTTGCTTCTAGTTTTTCTCCTAGTCTTCTTCACTTTTCATGAAGGTTAGTATTCTAACTCATATAGAACAGAACAAAAATACAGACATACCTGGTGGTTGTTCCACAGTGGTTTCTGCCTCCGTAGTCGGTTCAGCTTCTTTTGCTTTTGCTGCTGCCCTCGTAGCTCTTCTCTTTGGAGGCATTGTCTCTCTTTGATTCTACAGTTTTCTCTTTGATTGGATGTGTTGGTAGTTTGTTTACTTTTTTTCAGAAATACTTTCGGTTTGTTTTGATTTTCGTTTTTCAGATCTGGTTGAAATGGGGGTTTTAGCTTATGCTTTTCGCCAATGTGCGAGATTTGTGTCGCACATTGGCGAAAAGTATATGGAGTGGTGTTTTAAATGTCTTTTACTCTATATGGAGTCCCATATTGGGAAGGTTTGGATGAAGACTTGCTTACATTGTAAAATCACTAGTTATTTATCTTCAAAGATGTTTCAACTTGCCACTGTTCCTCAAAAATTAATTTGCGTCCTGTAATATGGTGTGCAGGTGTTATAGCACACTGGGTCAGCCATTGGTACACATCAATGAGATGTCAATTGATAAGATCAATTTTTGATTGATCAATAACGATATTACTACATTGTGTATACTCATATCTCGATTTCATAAATAGAACTTCAAATCAGTAATTATGATTCAGATTCCTTCCACAAAGTCATATATACTTTCTTGGTGACTAGTGACGTGCTGTCTACTATGATACTACAAGAATATTGATGATTTTTACAACTTTATGGAAATACCTATTAGTCTTACCTTATTAAAAACCTTTTGTGTATTTTTCATATTAATTTCTATAAACATTGTAATTTTCACTATCAAGATTAAAATTTGAACCCTGTATTTCTGAAACTGACACCTCCATTTTATTTCAGAACTCTTAATAGAACAACTGTCCTACATATTCTTCGAAAAATGCTGAACAATGATCACATGTATATGGCATTATTATTTACAATAGAAGATCAATGTGTGACTATTGCTGCTGCTTTTCAGTTGAATTCAATATTTCAATAATTTCGAACCATGATGATTCTTCGGATGACGATGTTGAAGTCTCTTCAGGAGAGCTGCGCAACACGGTGGTGATTTTCTGTTGCAAATGAAAGCACAACTTGAACAATCCAATCAAGACAAGAAAGATCATTAAGTTGACAATCAAAGAGTTAAAGCCAAATAACAACCATATGGATGAGGATTAAGATCACACACTCTACCCTGAAGTTCCATTTGACATCCTCCGACTCAAATGAAGCTCTGCATATCATTGCTCTGAGATCTCAGGATTTAATACTCATCACATAAGGCACCCATTCTGCAAAGAAATTGAAATCAACAATACGCTTGATTTGTACCAGTTATCTTTATTAGACATACTCGTACAGACAGTACAAGTTGAAGACGTCTTGAACTCCGACGTGTCAACCCGCAAAGTGTCAACGCGAAGACAAAAGTTTACGTCCTATTTCAACGATCATTTGAGCCCATGTCGGCTCTTTCCATCATGCAATTTGATACTTCAAAGATTACCTTACATTCGGAAAGGCTAAAAACAAAGAGTCGGTTTCAGGCTCGTGGAGGTCAACACCGTCATCGCTCTCATGAGGAGTCTGATAGTGATCGTAATGGGGGAGGTGAAGATAAAGAAGATGGGTACTCGTTTTTAATCTCTTGTGTTTCATTCTATCAGAACTGAAATTCATTGGGCTTTTCTCCATCCTAGACCTTTGATCCCAAACATCGAAAAATGGTCAGTTATGTTCAATGGATTCAGTATATCTTTTATGATTAGCGTAGACGTGCAAGTACAGTGTTGACTTGAAGCTTGTTCTAGACTTTGGAGGGAATAAATTGAGCAAGTGGGACATTTGTTCAGCAAGAGCATTATTCTTCAAACTGTGGTTACAACTATCCTTCAATATCACACCAACTATAATGCATGATGATACATGACTGGGATTCTCTACAGTTTTAAAGAAAATAAGGAAATTATCAGTGGTAAAGCCAGCAATCTTCTCAAACACATTTTCCTTGAGATTAAGCAGAGAGAAACATAATCGAAACACACCATCCCTACTCCCTACTATATCAATAACAAAGCTTCTGGAAACCCCATGAAAGGATAACGCGGTTGCCTTGACCAATATTGAGCATGAAGGCTATACTCTTATTTGTTATTGGTGTTACGTTGAAACCATTATGAGAAGTTTTGTAAGCTTTTGAGATGGTAATTTCTGTTGATTCAAGATTTCCAAAGTTCACACGCAAGTCTCAAAGGATTAAACCCGTTCAGTTTATTCAAACTCAAGTCCTGCTATGATAAAGCCGACTGTGATTGCTAAATATGACACAGCTGTCTTTATTTACCTTGACCTTTATGACATGATGGTTGAAAACCTCCATAACACTCTGATGGTACGACCAGTCTCGAATTCCGAGTGCAGTTCCCGATAGATCAGGATCTAGGACCTTGAACTTCTTCTTCAGATATCGACCAGAAAATGAGCAAAGGATCCAATAATGTTACGGATGAAAAAGATGCTGATACAAACACTGGCTGTATATAAAATTGAAAACGGGTGTAACCCAGTGTCACCAGTTGGTGTGTAATGTCCGTACTATGTGGGCAGACTAAGCGTTTACCTACATCTTTCAAAGTTTTGTTCGCTTTGTAGAGAGAACAATTAGCCCAATGCTTTTGCCTGGACTTGGATAAAAGCATTGAGAAGCTTGCGAAACTTAACAACAACTTTAGAGGTTGTCTCAGAGGATGTTAAGTGTTGTACATACCTTAATAACTCACATGTATCGCACCTTGTCAAATTAGGAGGTGATGAGCCATGTTCAAAAATAATGCTAGAAGCACCACTCAAACACGACCATAAATCTTTCTTTTGAAGATTCAAGTTTTTAACAACCATCTCAGGACACCCTCATGTTTCGTTGAGAGCATGACGACAATTGAATTTACCCAATAAAGATGCCATTATGGCACGCAGCTCGAACGCACATTATGACACACTGGCTTGCCAGTTGATGTCGTGCCTGTACCATTCTGTAAAACCGGTGTGTGCAAAAGGACTTTACAAGGAGTCAAACGATTTTGCGGAAAAAGAAAAAAAGCAGAGCAAACCCGTATGATTTTCGTGTAAATGAAGTGTCCCTTTCATCGTGGCCCTACTGAAATTCAATAATGTTACCCGGCCGGGTGTTATTTTTTTAGGCCACAAAGAAGCGGAAAAAGAAGAAAAACAAACCGGCAAACGTCGACGTCAATGTTTTTTCCCCTTTTTCCCATGACGTTTTTTTTTCGTTTCATTCTTTTTCGCCGTTCACAACCCCCGTCCGATCAACAACAAAACTTCAACACCGGCGCAAAAGTTTAACGAACGCAAAAAAAACGAATAAGGAAAAAACGACAAAAAAGTAGTTCAAAAACGGCGCCCCTAAAATCCTTCAAAACACATCAAAACAAATATAAACATCAAAGAAACAACACCTTCTTAACAATATTCTTGTGAAGCGGTTAAATTTCGATTTGTTCCAGGTGATTGCTTAACTCAACCTGATTCAACTTGACTTTATTGTTTTCTATTTCCCACCCTTTTTGTGTGTGTTTTCCTTACTGCTTTAAGAAAACATAAACACTCTTTTTCTACTCTCCTTAAGTTTCATTACCGGTGCTGATAAGGGCTTTATATTCAGAGTAAGAAGTGCTATCTCGAAGCAAACATGTCTTACCCACCAAGACCACAGAACTACCAGAGACTCAATGAGCTCTTGGAGGCGATCAGAGAGGAGTTTGACAATGTCAGTAACGAAGCGTCAAACTTTAGAATCCACAAGTCCGAGTACGACCTCAAGTTTACACAACAAACCACCGAGATGCAACAGATTAGGCAAACTGTCTATGAATTGGAGATGGCCCACAGAAAGATCAAGGAGGCATACGAGGACCAGATCTCGAGATTGAAGGGTGAACTGGAGGTTAAAGATAGACAGCTGGCATCTTTCCAACAACAACAGCAACAACAACAACAACAACAGCAGCAGCAACAGCCGCAACAACTTCCACAGCAGGCTCCACCACCACAACAACAACACCAGCCTGCAATTGGCAATGGCTCCAACAGTTTGCCAAAGCCAAACGCCTATGGTCAATATGGTCAAGTTTCTGCTGCTGGGACTCCACAGCAACAGCAATCACAATTGCCACCAGTTCAGGCTCAACCACCTCAACCACAGCAATTACCATCTACCCAAGTTCCACCACCTCCTCAGCAGGTTCAACAACAGCAACCTCAACAGCTTCCACCAGTGGTTGCTCAACAACAATCACCTGCTCAACCAAAAACTGAAAGTTCTGTGTCCATTCCACAGCAATCTCAGCCTCCACAACAACAACAAGCACCACAGGCACCACAACAGCAACCAACATCAGCGAATGGAACTCCAGCCCAACCAACTAACCAAAGTGTTGCAGTGATTGCTACTGCACCAACAGGTGAAAACTACTTGGTCCCAGCTAATGAACGGGCATTACACGAAAAGCCAATTCCACCGTTCTTGGAGGATTTGGAGGCTCCAGTATCTTCTCCACACTTGAAGAAGTTGAGACCAGAGTACTATGTGTTGTATAACCCAGCTTTACCAAAATCAGTCGATGTTGAGTTGGTTCATTCTTTAGACCATTCATCTGTCGTTTGTTGTGTCCGTTTCTCGAACGATGGTAAGTTCCTCGCTACAGGTTGTAACAAGACCACTCAAGTGTTTGGTGTTGAAACTGGTGAATTGGTTGCAAGATTGAGTGATGACAACACTGCAACTGACAACACAGGTTCAAGTGCTGATTTGTACATCAGATCTGTTTGTTTCTCTCCAGACGGTAAGTTCTTGGCGACGGGTGCAGAAGATAAGGTGATTAGAATCTGGGATTTGAGTACTAGAAAGATTACAAAATACCTGAGAGGCCATGAACAAGATATTTACTCACTGGATTTCTTCCCAGATGGTCAAAGACTTGTATCTGGATCAGGAGATAGAACTGTGAGAATTTGGGATCTCAACAGTGGACAGTGTTCCTTGACTTTATCTATCGAGGATGGTGTAACTACAGTTGCTGTATCTCCAGATGGTAAACTGATCGCTGCTGGGTCTCTTGATCGTACCGTTCGTGTTTGGGATTCATCAACTGGATTCCTTGTTGAAAGATTGGACTCTGAAAATGAAGCTGGTACTGGTCATAAGGATTCTGTGTATTCAGTTGCATTCACCTCTAATGGAAAGGAGGTTGCATCTGGTTCATTGGATAGAACAGTCAAGTTGTGGTCTTTGAAGCAATTGGGTAGCAATGTTACTGCCACAACGCCATCCAAGAACGTGACCGCGTGCGAAGTCACATATGTTGGACACAAGGACTTTGTCCTTTCTGTATGCTCCTCTCCAGATGGCCAATACATCTTATCTGGTTCAAAGGATCGTGGTGTCATCTTCTGGGAGAAGAGAACTGGTGATGCTCTCCTGATGCTTCAAGGTCACAGAAACTCCGTTATCAGCGTTTCTGTTGCCAACCACGCAATTTCTGGCGCAGGTATGTTTGCTACAGGTAGTGGTGATTGTAAGGCCAGAATCTGGAGATGGAACAAGACCTAATCTGAAACCAAGGGGAGGAAAATTTCAAAAGGACTGGCTGGCTGGCCACCACTATAGGAGTACTTCGCTATTTGCAAACTTGTATACTAAAATACATAATGAGAGGACCAAAATCAACTTGTTGTTGTTTCTGTTTTTTTTGTTCTTATCGATTCTGATCTTTGTCTCTCTCTATTCAGGTCTTTGTATTATATATAAAGAAGAAATTGATATGGTTTTTTTTTGATCTCTCTTTGAAGCATTATATAGATTAGAAAGCACGTAATGGAGTAGCTATGATCTAAATCTTTGGATTGCCATTGGCATCAACAAGAGACTCCTCTGTGTCTTGTGGACCAGGACCAACTTGCGTTAAGATGATTCTTGAAACGCCCTTTTGGATATCTTCATCAAGAGGGAATGGAACAGATTGCTTCAAGTCGTTGAATGCTGATGCCAATGCACTCAATCTTTCGCTTGTGAATTTTGAATCCCAACCTTCAACGTTTTGGAATAACTTGTACAAGAAACCAAACACTTTATCCTCATTTTCCTCCAAGTAGTAAATAACAGCGTTTGGACCGGCGTCGAATGTATAAGCTGCAACAGTTTCACCGTAAAATTCATTAATAGAATGGATAAGCTTGATGATCTTTTTAGAAGTATCGTTCAAGTAGAAAATTGGAGGAAATGAATCCAAACAAGTTGCATGGAACGAATTGGAATCCTTCATGGTGAGGTCTGCAAAAGTCGTAAAGTCCTTTGCGATGATGGCAGCTTTCATCTCTTCGAATCTCTTTGGAACAACTTCCTTGATTCTCCATTGAAACAAATCAGAAGTCTTAACGGTGGTTTGCATACCACTAGTGGATGGTGTGTCCTTCTTATCAGCGGATACAACCAAGATGGCGGCTTTCATGTTTGACCAATGCTCCAAGGGAGCAACCTCAACAGCTTTAGAATCAGAACCGTCGAGTTCGTCACCCATTTCCCAAGCAACATACCCACCAAAGAGCGATCTACAGGCAGAACCTGAGCCCTTTCTTGCGATCTTGGAGATCTCAGACATCGACTGAGGAAGCTTGTACAACTTGGAGATGGCAACGACGAGCGCAGAGAACCCAGCGGCTGACGAAGCAAGCCCGGCAGCTGTTGGGAAGTTGTTCTCAGAGACAATCTGGAGCTTCCACTCCGAGATCTTTGGCAAGGAAGGGTCAGACTCTTCCAGCGCCCTTCTCAAAGATCTCAGGTCTTTCAAACACATCTGTGTTCTCTCAGATTCTAACGACTCTTGGTGACCATTGAGAAAGAGCTTATCTTGTGTAAATGTTTCACACGTGGAAACTGACGTTAATGTTCTCAAATCATCTTGTGAGAGTGTCACAGAGATAGAAGAGTTGGTAGGCAAGTTGAGGGTCTTGTCTCTCTTACCCCAGTACTTGAGGGTCTAACGGTGTGCGCTCGTTAGTATACATATCATTCAAGCACAAAACAGATCTTCCCTCCATCCAAAGATAAACAGCTCATACTTACAGCAATGTTGACAGGAGCAGTGGTAGTTGCTGTGTAAACCGTCATTGTCTCGACAGATTGATTCTCTGTTCACGTTTACTGGCTTCAAAAGTCGATCACCATTCTGTGCTGTTTTCTTCCCTTCGATGATGCGTTTTTTTTCTCTCTCCCTCTGTGCGTCGTTTCGTGTTAAACGAGCACGCTTCCTACAGATTTTTGTACGCGCGCCTTTGTTTGTTTACATTTCATCATGAACAATAACAACAACAGCTTTCCCCCTAGGCACGCAGTATCGATGTACCGAAGACCGGTTTCTCGTGGTGCTGGTGCTCCTTTTAAAGCACCACGTATGACTGGTGTTTCTAGCGGAAGCGCCCACGTGGAAGGTGGGGCGCTGCCCGTCAAGAAGAGCTCACGTGGAGCGATGAAGAGGCCGCTCGATGTTGCCACTGAAGAAGCACCGAAGGTTGATTTGAGCGACAACAAGAGATACTTCGAGGTCGTTTGGAGGAAACAGACGATGAAGAAGCACAAGACCTGGGATGGGGATGGCGTCGTGGTGTTATCTGCCACGGACGTGCTGTTTAAGCTAGATGAATCTGAAAACTACAAACAGCGTTCAAAGAGTGGTAATGTGTCCAAGTTTACTACTGATGGCGTGTTCTCTATGGGCTCTTTTGAATTAGAAGTCACGGGTGAGATAACTGATGCTGTGCAGATAGAGAAAATAAGGCAAAGCTCCAAGAACATCGAACACAAATCTGATGATGAACATGTGGTTGAGAGACCCTTGAAGAGACCAATCACTGTCCAGAGGAGGACCTTGGCTACGCCCAATACTCAATTCAAAGCCGTTGGTCCAAAGGTTGGGGAAACTGTCAAACCAGAGCACTTCAAACCTTTACATGATCCTCATGCTGATGGCGCCATTGTCATGAAGAAACGGAACGAAAACGACACCGATGTGGTTCTGGATCCATTGTTGTGTGAATCCCTTAGACAGCACCAAATTAAAGGTGTCAAGTTTCTTTATGAATGCATGATGGATCTTCGTGGATTCGGAGGCCATGGGGCACTTTTGGCCGATGATATGGGACTGGGGAAGACATTACAGACAATAACTCTGATTTGGACTCTATTGAAACAGTCACCAAGGGGGTTTGAGCACCCAGAGGTTTCAAAAGTATTGATTGCATGTCCTGTGACCCTTGTGGCCAATTGGAAAAGAGAATTTAAGAAATGGTTACCGGCGAACAGGGTAAATGTACTTACGCTTCACAGCAAGAATACATTGGCAAAGGATAAACAGGATATAAAGAACTTTTCAAGGGCTAAAGTCTATCAAGTTCTCATAATGGGGTATGAAAAGATAGTCAACATGAAAGAAGAGTTATCACAGTGTGGATTTGATTTGCTAGTTTGTGATGAAGGTCATAGACTTAAAAACAACTCAAACAAGACACTCCAAGCGTTGAATTCGTTAGACGTGGAGAAAAAAATTCTCCTTTCAGGAACTCCAATTCAAAATGATCTTGTGGAACTTTTTACTATGATTGATTTCATCAATCCTGGAATACTCGGTACATACAGCCAGTTCAAGAGAGATTTCATGAATCCAATTTTACGAGCTCGAGATACAAATTGCCATGACCCAGATATCGTGCAGCATGGCGAGGATAAATCACTCGAGTTGATTTCAATTACAAAACCATTCATACTAAGAAGAACTTCAAAGGTGATGTCGAACCATCTCCCACCACGGACTGATGTTGTTTTATTCTGTCCACCGACATCACTTCAGTTGAACCTGTTTCAAAGAGTAATAAATTCACAGAACTTTCTAACTATGACGAGCTCTGAAATGTCATCATCTTCTTGTTTGGGCTTGATCACAATGTTCAAAAAGATATGTAACTCACCATCCTTGGTCATTGGCGATGAGCTTTTCAAAGGGTTTGTGAGTGAGCCAAATATTGCACAAACTGTGAGTGGTAAAATCACTGTTCTTTTGGAACTTTTAAAGGAAATTCATCAAATTGGAGAGAAAGTTGTTATAGTTTCAAATTATACAAAGACATTAGACATCATCCAATCTCATTTGCAGAAGTTAAACTTTGAGTATTTAAGACTTGATGGTTCAACTCCGAATAAAGAGCGTGATCCGTTAGTTGCAAGGTTTAACAACTCTACTTCAAACTCATCATTTGCATTTCTTTTATCAGCTCAATCCGGTGGTGTGGGATTAAACCTAATCGGGGCATCAAGGTTAATTCTATTTGACAATCACTGGAATCCCTCTGTTGACTTACAAGCGATGGCTAGAATCCATAGGGATGGACAGAAGCGTCCTGTTTTCATTTACAGACTAATCACTTCTGGTTGTATCGATGAGAAGATTTTTCAAAGGCAGTTGATGAAGAGCAATCTGTCTGATAAGTTCTTGGACAATAAACATAGCTCCAAAGATAACGTGTTCTCCATGGAAGATCTTAAAGATCTATTCACAGTAAACAGAGATACACAATGCAACACCCACGACTTGGTCGAATGCTCATGTGGTGGGACAGGAGAAGAACTTGTTATCGAAGATGATGAAATTCAGCAAAAGGAGAACACCGTACCAAAACTTGAAAGACAAGTAAGCTGGACAAGTGCGCTAGAGATCAAGAACAACCCCATCGAAGATAAAGCTGAAAAAGAGAGGAAGTCCACTATCAAGATGTGTCTGTCTGATTATAGACATTTAGATCCACGCATTATCAACATTCACGATACATCCATTGGGGACACTGTTGTCGAATCACTAATTGAAAAGAACCGTACACATGTGAGTTATATTTTAACAAAAGTCAACAAGCGTATATGATTTTGTTTCTATTTCTGTTGAAGTTTCATTCTAGCTTCTGCTGCTCTTGCCCTTTGTTCTCTCATCAACCTCATTCTTTGGTCATCAGTGAGAGAGTTTATATTAACCTGAGAGATGGAAACTCCTCCAAGTCTTTTATTGTTTTTACTCACTGGTTCAACTTTCTGTTCTAACAATTCACGTTGAACCTTTTTCTTCTCTTGTTCCTCTTGGGTCTTTCTTTCCAGATCTTCTCTTTCAACGTCTTCACGTTTTAAAGGTGGCTCAACGTGAGCTCTTTCCCAATCATAGATGGATTCTCCCAATTCGGAACGCGCAATACGGAATGCCTGTTTTACAGAAACGTTGGCACTCAAATCGTATGCAGTTTTACCTGATTTGTTCAATGCTGTTGGATCGCATTTCAAATTCTTTAAGAGAGGGCCTATAAGGTTCTTCAATCCATGTGCACTTGCATAGTGTAAAACAGTTGGTGTATGGTAATATTCCGATTCCGGTTGTAATTCAAACTGTGGACTCAATTGATTCTTCTTCATGTATGTAATCAAAACGGGCCCTCTCGACTTTTTCAAAAAACCAACAATTTCCCTGGTTTGGGTCTCCTCTGGGGTCACCTTGTCAGTTTCTTTGACTTTGTTCGATTTGGATTGTTTCAACTGTTGTTGTAAGGCCTTTTGTTTCAACACTTTATCATCCACCTTCGGTTTTGCAGTGATTGTCAAACTGGTCAGCTGCAACCATGCTCTTTTTAATTCAGAAGTGGTTGCCCTCTTTGTGGTGAAGGGAAAACTTCTTATTCTGTCGTCATCGTTTGCGAATGGTGAACCTTCATACCCAACGAGTATTCTTCGATTCTGCATTCCATTGGCTCTTATGAAGATTGAATCACATTCATTGAGCTGCTTCTTCCAAGATTGTAATAATTCACGGACTTCATTCTGAAGAGCCATCTCATTGGCTCGACGAAGGTTTGAACCCGCAGAGTTTGCCTTACCCTTTGCATTATCCATTGCACTTTGAGAACCACCTTGTTTTCTTCTCGTTGTATAACGATGAAAGGATTTTTGCATGATGAAATCAACCGAGTTTAACAGCAGATCTGAAGGTGTCTTTGAAACTTGACCTTTCGTAGATTTAACAGCATGTGAAACTATTGCACCGGCAAAATGTCCACCACCAATCATGAATATTGCAGATTTCTTCCCCTGTTGAGACTGCCATGATTTCAACGCGTTTATTGGATCGTTGATTTCCTTGACGCTGAACAGAGATTTGTATACACCAAACGCATGTGAACTATCCAGCAATGACGATTTGAACAAGATAAATGGAGACCTGGTTGCCAAGTGACTAACCACACCTTCCTCTTCTTGTTCCAATTTCAGCTGTTCTAGCTTTGCTATGCTTCTCTCAAAAATCGTGTCAAGTGTATCCGTTTTGTAGCGCTCGTCGTTGTCATCGCCATCCTCCTCGCTATCTTCTTCTTCAGAGCCGGATAAACTCTCATTGAAGAGTTCACTTGCTAACTCCTCAAATTCCGACTCTGTCAGCGGTGGGAGTCCACGACTTTGTCTTTTCAAGTTCAGCTTGTAGATGTCTGAGTTGTAGTATTCCCTGTCCTTATGTTGTACGGGTTTGATAACCTGTACAGTACTCTGCTCTTGTTGTTGCTGCTGCTGCTGTTGCGCCAATGTAACCTCCTCCACCGTGGAACTATCAAAGTACATCAGCTCCAAGGAGTCAATGATCCTCGGTGAGAGGTCGTATGCGAATAGTTCTTCTGGCTCAAACCTCGACATTGTTAGCCGTTTTCCCAACTACCTTGCTCCCAAATTGGTACCGATGATGGGCTCAAATAACCATTCCTCCATCTCTTCATGAAGCATCAGAAACAGTACGCGCCACATACACCACTCGATTACGTAATCAGAGAAAACGATCCGTGCCCGTCGAAGAAAGGAAGATCTCTGTGGTAGGGGCCGCACACGTCTCAGGGGACCAATCAGCACGGAGCACTCACGTTGATCCCACGCTCCTACCCAATTGCTCCTTCTCACAGCATCTCCACAGTGTGTTGTCTCAATAAGCGGTGACTCAAGCGTTATGGGCATCCTGATTCTCTACCTTGCCGTCATATAAACAGCGAATCCTCACTCGACCCCATCGTATCACCGCTTCATCATCACTGTGTGTCCCGTAACCAATCCCCTCTTCCCAATCCCGTAGAGTAACTAGGGAAACCACAGGCCCTCTTTTGGTATGTGCAGCGAAGAGCGCTTCGTGCATGGAATCCCCTGGCTGTTTTCATACGGAAGAGCCAAAGAATGTAAGAGGGTTTAAAGCGTACGCTTCCATCAATCGTCAAACGTTGTCAATTGTAGTTTTGTATACCGTGCGACAGATGGTTAACGTCCTGCTTAATCCCGTTAGCAGTGGGCAGGAAGATCTGGGCTTCCCCAAGAACTTCCACGGCGTAAAGAGGCATTGATCCTTGGGTGCTGCTTCTTTTCCCCTAATTTCACCTGCGGGATGGCCAACGTCGACGTGTCGGTTCTAAAAGAACAAGTCGCTGGGACGCGTCGATGGATTACATACGGATGTTTGTTTATATGCCTAGGCGGGATTATGCCTCTGTGTATATATACGTGTGCTCTTTCCTTCTTTTCGGTTCTTTTTCTCAGTCTTGTTCTGTTTCTCTCTCTGTAGACACACACAGTAGTTACATACAATGGATTTCTTGAACAACATTAAGGACAAGGTCGGCGACGAGGTTGTCGAACAGGCCATCAAGCAGAAGGCTTCAAGCTTCTTCGGCGGTGACTCTGACAAGAAGGAGCAGTCGCAGGGTGAGAAGGAAGGTCAACAATCATCTGACAACAACAACAACAACAACAACGAGGGCGAGAAGAAGGAGGAATCCAGCTCTGGTTACGCTAAGAAGATTGAGAGCTTCATCGGTGATGATAACATCAACGCCATCAAGCAAAAGGTTGGCGAGGATAACTTCAAGAAGGGCGAGAGCTTCATCGACGAGCAAATCAAGTCCAGATTCAACTAAGTCTATAGTACTTGCGTGAGCTAAAATACCCTTCCATTTCACAGGAATTACAAGTGTAGGCAGTCTCTAATTAAAGCATTTGTGAATTAAGAAGAATTAGTAAAACCCTGCACAGTACACTGCTCTCTAGTTCTATGTTTCATCTCCATAGTACAATTGGTGTATACTTGCCTATTTAGCTAATGTAAACTTTTTTTCCTTCTTTTCGTTTTCTTTTATATGATCTATCATCTTTGATGTATTCTCACTCTTTTTTAACAATTCACTTCTTAATCAAGTTGAAGTACTGCTCGTCAACGGATTTGATAATGTGATCAACAACTTCAGGGTTACTTAGTGTAGACAAATCTCCCAATTGGTCAGCCTCATTAGATGTGATCTTTCTCAAGACTCTTCTCATGATCTTACCGGATCTGGTCTTTGGTAGATCGTCAACGATGATAACAGTCTTTGGACCAGCAAATGGACCAATCTCACCTCTAACTTGCAAGATCAACTCACGACGAAGCTTATCTGGGGTAATGTGTTCGTTAGAGTCGGTAATCTTGTCATTTGCTTGAATTAAGTAACCATCTTTCAAGGAGACAAATGCAATGACAGCTTGACCAGTGAGTTCATCTGGAATACCAACAACGGCAGATTCAGAAACTCCCAAGTGATCACTCAATGCGGTCTCAATCTCTGCAGTGGACAATCTATGACCAGAGACGTTGACAACGTCATCGACACGGCCTCTAATCCAGTAGTAACCGTCATGGTCTCTTCCAGCACCATCACCAGTGAAATAATAGCCTGGGTATGGCTTGAGGTAAGTCTCCAAGTATCTGTCATGGTTGTTCCAAACAGATCTAGCCATTGATGGCCATGGCTTCTTGACAGCAAGGACACCTTCCACGTCATTGCCCTCGAGCTCCTTACCACTAACTGGATCAATAATACAGGCATCAATACCAAAGAATGGAACAGTTGCTGAACCTGGCTTGGTTGGAACTGCACCAGCCAAAGGAGCAATCAAATGGGAACCGGATTCGGTTTGCCACATCGTATCACAGATCACGGCTTTGTTCTTACCAATCTTCTCGTGGTACCACTCCCAAAGATCTGGAGCGATTGGTTCACCAACAGAACCCAAAGTTCTCAGAGATGAAATGTCATACTTGTCAATCTCATCCTCACCGACTCTCTTGATCAATCTCAATGCAGTTGGTGCAACGTAGAAGTGGGTAGCCTTATGACGTTCAATGATTCTCCAGTATCTACCATAATCTGGATAAGCTGGGGTAGATTCAAAGATGATTGTAGCGGTACCGAGAGTCAATGGACCATAGAGAGCATAGGTATGACCGGTAATCCAACCGACATCACCAGCAGTGAAGAGAATATCCTCTGGATGGATGTCAAAGACATATCTTGTGGTTAAAGCGGCACCGAGCAAGTAACCAGCCGTTGTGTGGACGACACCCTTTGGTGAACCAGTGGAACCAGATGTGTACAACAGGAAGAGTGGGTCCTCAGAGTTGACTGGGGTTGGAGGCAAGTAGCCTCTGCTCTTCTTGGTCTCCAGATGCCACCAGTAATCACGGCCAGCTTTCATTGGAATGCCTTCTGAGCCTGTTCTTTGGAACACGAGGATCTTCTTCACGACATCGGTATCTTTCAAGGCCTCATCGACAATCTTCTTTGTGTGGACGGTCTTACCACCTCTCTTACCTTCGTCACACGTGATGATGAAGTGAGAATCAGCGTCAACGACACGATCTTTCAAAGAACCAGCAGAGAAACCAGCAAACACAACAGAGTGGATGGCACCGAGTCTGGCAACGGCAAGCATGGCAACTACGGCCTCTGGAATCATAGGCAAATAGACAGCAACGGTGTCACCTTTCTTAACTCCCCACGATTTGAGCACCGCGGCAACTTCGCTCACCTGTCTCAGCAGCTCACCAAACGTGATGATTCTGTTGTCCTTTTCATCGTCCGCCTCGTAGATGATAGCGGTCTTACCTGGGTTGGCAAACGCGTGTCTATCCACACAGTTGTAGGACGCGTTCAGCTCACCGTTAAGGAACCAGGCAACGTCACCGTTCTCCAGAGAGCCGGACTCAACCTTGTCGAACGGTCTGTGCCAGTCGAGGTATTCCCTGGCCAGCGGGCCAAAGAACCCTTCCGGGTCCTCGATGGACTTCTTGTGCAGTTCCTTGTAGTGCTCCAAGTCGTTGATGAAGCCCTTGTTTGGCTGTTTCTCGAAGAACTCTGAGGGAGCGTGGTGCGCCTTCACGTTAGCGGCCTCGTGCACAACTTTGTGATTAGGCATTTTCGGTGCGTGTGCGGGTGGTGTGTTGGAACTATGGAGCCTGCGACTTGAATATGTTGTTGGAAACAGTGGATGTCAAATCCTCAATTGGGCAGGAGCTTGTGCAAGACGATTGGAACGAGGGGATTGGCCGTTCCTTTTATGCTGCTCTAGAAACCTTTTTATAGGGGAAGGAGAAGGTTAAAAGAGAGAGAAAGATACGTCGAAAAGGTCGAGCGAAGGACGAAAAAATTACTGAGACCCCATTCAGGTCGTGCTGAACGAGGACTGAACGAGCGGTTGGAACCGCCCACCGCGTAGAAGGACTACATTCTGGCAGGCGCGCGCGCGAGGGAAAGACCGTCAGAAGGGACTAGGCCTGAAGATGGCGGGACTCGGGAGAAAGGAGTTCACGCCAGGTCGGTTGGGAAAACATGGGAGCTGGGTTATGAAGCGATGGGGCCACGAGACTAACCGTTACGCGTCTCGTCGAAATCCGGATCTTATCGGGACTTGTTTTGCCGGCGATGGGTTCGCAAGACTTTGGGACTTTTGTGCTTTTTTTTTGTTGGTTAATGGGATCACAACCATTTTGTTGGGAAATGGTCTCTAGAGAATGATTGGGGCTCCAAAGCCGAGTCGATTTAGTGCACATAATAGTAGAAGGCCAATAGTCACGTGTGGGATATCCACATTCGATCTATACAACCTGCCTTGTTAGAAACACATTCTCTGTTGATTGGCAACGGGAAAAGTAACTTACAAAAGGCAACCAGTACAAAAGCCTGAATTGGCATTTCCCTCAATTCTGGCGCCCGTGGTCTAATGCGAGTCCCCAAGTCTTCCAAGTCCCCAAACGTCTCCACAGATTGCTGCTGACAAGTGTGTGATAAATCCCACTGTTGTCATTGGAGCAATGGAAGTGCACCAAATAGCAGATGACACATTCGCAGATGGAACGGCCTTAATGACCCCGAATTGTAGGTCGGTTTGATGGGATTTTTTCTCTTTCTCGCATTCCTTCCCTAACGTGGTGTTCAGCCTAATGATAAGAGATCGGTACAAATTACTACGTCACAGCTTGGAGGTTGTCAAATAGGGTAGCATTGGGACGATGGCTTCCAACGTCTTGCCCCTCTGGCCTCTTCCAGCTTGCCCCTCCATGAACGCGTCTAAGCTTTATTATCGGAACCGTTGAACGTTAAACCACTCAAGTGCTCTTGGTGGGACTGCCGGTCGCCAATTGCCCCCATCGTGTAGGTCACTTGGAAGTGAGTTGATAAAGCAACCTCACCGGTTTGTCAGACCCTTCGGTGTGTCATTCGTTTTTAGACCTTTTACCCCAGTTTTTTTAACTTTAGGTCTGTTTTTAAACCTTCTTTTATCGGCGTCCTAAGCGGAGCAAAGTGACGTTTGCAGTGACGAGACTTGTTCATGGACTAATTGACTCTGGCCCCGGTTATACGATGTGTTGGACATAGATGCCAAAGTCAGCTGGTGTCTAAGTTGAATGAATTCGGCGCCCAAGTGTGTCATTCGCTATCTCTCACGTTAATTTATGAGACGAACCTGGCAAGTCAAACCTTCTGAGCTGGAGGAGGAACTCAAGAGTTCCAACGCTCACGCTTGATGAGCAGGATGTTATGTAGGACCTGCGACGGGTTATTTGATCAACAGTCCATCCAGAGTCAGATGAAAGGGAGGGCTGGAACTCACGACGCACAACGCTGGAAGATAAGAGCCAGGATAAAAGGATATGCCACACAGCCATCAAAAAATCACCTTAGAGACTTGGAAGGAGCTTTCTGATGTAGTTCATAACTGGAGGACGTCTCCTAATCACGTGAAGTTGGAAGATGTTACGGCATTGTATTATTGGACTGCAAGCAATATGGCTGCTGTTATAGTTGCGAATTATTCACAGATTGGGTGTTAATACCGTTGCGGAAATACAGTTTTGTTGATGAGCACTGACCGTGCACATCCATTGCGACCAATTACGATAAGAGAGGTCACATTCGTATATATTTCTGTCTCATATCGCTTTTACAGTTGAGAGTTGGAAACCCCGGCTATATATTCAACTACAAATTTATGACAGGCATCGTGCGTTCTTAATTGAAGACACATTGAGCATTCACACTGGAATCGGTTCATGTTTTACACTCGCAATTTCACACTCTGTCGAAATGAGGATATCCATGTGGCAAGTGCTGTATTGTGAGAAGCCCAGTATCGATCTGGCGCACCTGATAAACAAAGCACCTGCTTACAGCTCCCTTCAGTACTTTTATGCCAAGTATTACCTACTTTTCCGCTCAGAACAGCCCCCAGCACCCAATTGATCACGCCTGGATCAGGAAGGAGCAATTATGTGTCTACCAGCTTTCTTTGAAACCAACAGATAGCGAATCAGACGCCAGGAATGCCATTCCAAGCCTTCTTTCTGTCCCAGCGTGTAACTTTCCTTGTGTGTGACTGTGCCACTGTGAAGTGTGTCACCTGCCCGGCAATTCAAAAACACTCGTGCATAAAACACTCAGCGACACTTCACAGAAAGTTGTAGGCTTAGGAGCTCTCCACCAACAAGCCTCTACATACAAAGGCATCAAAGCCCATTCGCAAGAACCACTACAGATTGCCGTTTTCCGTGCAAGCCATGGCACGGAGAATAATCTCACCACAGGGAGGCGCAGAAGCCCCTCGGCAACCCGTCCCAATACAGACAAGGACCAAGCGAAGTTTATCGGTGTTAGGGAAAACCCCGACAATTAAGACCACCTATCACGAGATTGCTTCCAGTGTCGCAGTACTAAAGCATGAGCCACCGCAAGAGAACTGGCCGCTGTAGTAGGAAGCGAGGGGGAATCCCACTAGGACTGTCCATAAGTACACGAAGAATTCAGAAATTAGGCAATCACTGGAAATGAGAAGATTTCCAGCCAGTTTAAGCTGAAATGTCGTAAGCCCTCTTTTCGGCGTCTCGGTGAACGTTTCAGAGGCAAGGAGATATTTTCTCCTTTACGAAAAGGGCTTGTACAGCGATCTTTGGGAAGGAGCACACAAGGAGTGCATTTTAGGGTGTTATACCCAAGTGTAAGCCCTGTAGAGCTGCTTTATAAATTGTGACATGTTTCTGTACCATTTCACATTTGGCTTCCTAGCTCTCTTTCTCCTCCTGTTGTTTGTCTAGTCCCAGTAACTATACACAGAATATCTAAACAGTATGATGTTTAAGCTGTCAACGTTGTTGGCCATCGCCTCATCGGTCATTGCTGCTGAAGCCGATGGCTCCCCATTCAAACCTCCAAGCGTCGAAGATGCCGCTGTTTACGCAAGAACCCTGGTCAAGAGAGAGTCCTTGACAAACGTCAACACCATTTCACACTCTGGTAGCAGTGAAGGTAAGCCAGTGTCCTTTGTCGAGTACTACGCAGACTGCGGTGATGGTAACCCGGTTTTGCTTGCGATCGATATGTCCACCTCGTACAAGAACTATGCCAGCGGCTCACCAGCCACATTGTCCATCAGAGTCGGTGATCATCCGTTGAACGAGCACGTCAACCCAAAGTACCCAGGATCTCGTCCAAACTCCGTTGCAGGCTCTCCAAGAATCAATTTGAGAGGTTCTTTTGTTAACGTCACCACGGAAGAGCTGCCTCAGTTGGAGGCTTGCTTCCTCGAACGCCATAGGGACGCTCGCTGGTGGTTGCCAGGTAACCCAATCCACAGTTCGCACTTTGTCAAGTTTGAAGTTGATGGTGTTTACTTCTTAGGTGGATTCGGAGACACTGGTTATATTGGTGAGATCCCATCTGACCTGTACCTCAACGCTACCACATTGAAAGATCAACCACCACATGGAGGGCCACCACACCGTGAGCCACCACACCGTGAGCCACCACACGGAGAGCCACCACATGAGGAATCTCCAAAGGAGGATGAGTTCAAGAAGCACAGTGAATTGGTGCTCAACAAGATCCAGGGATTCATCAATGAGTTGGTTCAGTTGAGAGACTCAAAGGCTGAAAACAACGAGTTGAAGCCAAGAGTGATTTCATTGGAGAACGAAGACAAACATATCACTGACATCCTTAGAAGACATGCCGCAGAAGAGGACAACGTTGACCTCAGTACCTTGAGTCTTGAACAAATCAACTCTATCTCAGAGCAAATGGTTGAGTTGAAGAAGAACGTGGTCAATTTCGTTGAAACCCACATGGAACGTGAGAGACGTGATGAGCGTATGAGAGATAACTCTCGTGCGAAGTTCATGGTTGAGGCTGGTATCCCAGATGACGTTCATCACAGACGTGTTGCAGACCATCACAGACGTGTTGTAGACCATCACAGACGTGTTGCAAAACATCACGGAGGTCCAAGAAGAGCCGGTATTATCAGTCGTGTTAAGGGATTCTTCGGTCTTGATAAACCAGAATTTGATATCACTCAATACGATGAAGACGAGAGATCTCCAAGATTCCACAGAAGACCACATGG